TGACTGGGGGTGCTGAGCCTGGCGGTGCTGCGCCAGGGGGTCCTACGCCTGGACGAGACCTCTCCTCGGAGCAGTTGCGTGAGTGGTACTTACAGTACTGCAGCCTCCGGAGAGGTACCTCTGGGACCAGGCGCGCTACGGAGACTGGTGCTGGCACTTCTCCTTCTAGTCGGGAGCTCCTCTCTCGTGAGCGGATCCGCGAGTGGTACGAGCGCCGTTGCACACTTCGTAGTGGCGCGCCTCGTCTCACGGACCCTGCTGCTGCTGGTGCTGCGGACCCGGGCGTTGGAGCTGCTGCTGGTGCTGCGGACCCGGGCGTTGGAGCTGCTGCTGGTGCTGAGGACCCGGGCGTTGGAGATGCTGCTGGTACTGCGGACCCGGGCGTTGGAGCTGCTGCTGGTGCTGCGGACCCGGGCGTTGGAGCTGCTGCTGGTGCTGAGGACTCGGGCGTTGGAGCTGCTGCTGGTACTGCGGACCCGGGCGTTGGAGCTGCTGCTGGTGCTGAGGACCCGGTCGTTGGAGCTGCTGCTGGTGCTGAGGACCCGGGCGGTGGAGCTGCTGCTGGTACTGCGGACCCGGGCGTTGGAGCTGCTGCTGGTGCTGAGGACCCGGGCGTTGGAGCTGTGACTGGTGCTGAGGACCCTAGTGTTGGAGTCCCTGCTGGTGCTGCGGACTCGGGCGTTGGTACTGCCGCTGGGGGCACTGGTGCTGTCCCTGCTGTGTCTGGAGTCGCCGCGCGCCCTCAGCCGTACTTCGTTCCGCTCCTTCAGCAGGTTCTTGGTCTCTCGCCTCCTCCTGGTCCTCCCCCTCCTTTAGTGTGTCCACAGCCTGTTCAGTCACTGCCTGCTCCTTCTCCTTACTCTGGTCCTACTGACGGTCTTACTGAGCGTCGTGAGCCTGCGTCTCGCCCTGCGTCGCCTGTCCGTCCTGCTAGCACTAGTGCTCGTAGTTCGCGTCCACGTCCTCCTCCTGCCCCTGGCACGCACCGGATGTCTCTGCGTCCTTCCACTGCTCCTCTGCGTGCCCCTTTGCCTTCTCCTCCTGCTTCCTCTCTTCCTGCTCTTGTCGACCCTACATCGGACTCTCTTCGTGCTGCCAGTCCTACTGTCACGCGTCTCCTTGCTACTGCCGTCACTGACCCTTCCTTCGAGTCTTCTGCTGCGTCTGCCCTAGTTGCTGAGCTCGTCGACTTTGCTGCTCGCTGTCGTCTAGACTACGCTGCTAGTCTTGTCGCTGAGTCTGAGTCTGTCTGTCCTCCGTCCGTCGGGGGTGCGTGTGCCCTTGGCACGGACGTCCTTGAGGACAGGCAGGAGGAGTTTCAGTGCTTGGCTGCCGCTTCACCTCATCTCGCGTCTGTACTGCTAGCCCCTGAGGGAGACCCGGATGCACTAGACATCCCGACTCCGCGCTCTTACGCGGAGGCGATAGAGGGTCCCTACTCCTCTCAGTGGCAGGCAGCTATGGATGCAGAGATGGCTTCCTGGAAGTCCACAGGCACCTACGTTGACGCTGTCCCCCCTCCTGGGGCGAACATCGTCAGTGGCATGTGGATCTTCAGGGTGAAGCGGCCGCCGGGTTCTCCGCCTGTCTTCAAGGCGCGTTACGTGGCTCGTGGCTTCAGTCAGCGGCAGGGAGTTGACTAATTTCAGACCTTCTCCCCCAGCCCGAAGATGACCACTCTTCGGGTACTCCTGCACGTTGCTGCTCACCGGGACTACGAGCTTCACTCTCTCGACTTCAGCACTGCTTTCTTGCAGGGCAGCCTGCACGAGGAGATCTGGCTGCGTCGCCCACCTGGCTTCACTGGGTCTTTCCCTCCTGGTACCCAGTGGAGTCTCCAGCGTCCAGTCTACGGTCTCCGCCAGGCGCCACGTGAGTGGCACGACACACTGAGGACTACGCTGGCGGCACTTGGGTTTGCTCCTTCTACTGCCGACCCGTCGCTGTTTCTGCGCACCGACACTTCTCTGCCGCCGTTTTACATCCTCGTGTACGTCGACGACTTGGTCTTTGCCACTGCTGACACTGCTGGACTCGCCTACGTGAAGTCCGAGCTGCAGAAGAGACACACGTGCACTGACCTGGGTGAACTGCGCAGCTACCTTGGCTTGCAGATCACCCGGGACAGAGCACGCCGCACCATTACCCTGACTCAGTCACACATGGTGCAGCAGGTCCTTCAGCGCTTCGGCTTCACGTACTCCTCGCCTTAGGCCACTCCTCTGTCTACTCGCCACTCGCTCTCAGCTCTGCCTTCGGATGAGTCCGTAGAGTCGAGTGGCCCGTACCCAGAGCTTGTTGGCTGTCTCATGTACCTGATGACCTGCACACGACCTGACCTTGCATACCCTCTTAGCATTCTTGCGCGCTATGTTGCTCCTGCGAGACACAGACCAGAGCACATGGCTGCAGCGAAGAGGGTGTTGCGCTACTTGTGCAGTACGTCGGGCATGGGACTAGTGCTTGGAGGGCGGAGTCCAGTGGTCCTCACTGGTCACGCGGACGCTTCTTGGGCTGACGACCAGGCTACGCAGCGGTCGTCACAGGGTTACACCTTCAGCCTTGGTTCCGGCTCTGTTTCGTGGCGGGCTACTCGCTCGTCTTCTGTTCTCGGCTCCAGTTGTGAGGCTGAGATCTACGCAGGGGCCATGGCTGCTCAGGAGCTTCGCTGGCTCACCTACCTGCTGACCGACCTTGGAGAGCCGCCTCGTTCTCCTCCAGTCCTGTACGTCGACAACAAGGCCATGCTGGCCTTGTGTCGAGAGCAGAGACTGGAGTACAGAACAAAGCACATTGCTCTCCGCTACTTTCTTGCTCGTGAGCTACAGCAGCGTGGTCAGTTGCGACTTGCGTACGTGGCCTCTGAGGCCAACACTGCTGATGTTTTCACCAAGGCACTTGCGCCTTGTGATCATCAGCGCTGCTGTACCCAGCTGGGTCTTGTGTCTGTCTTGCCTCACTTGCTCTCCTCTTGACCCTCTTTGTACTGTTACATATATATATATATCATTGCTCTTGCTTGTTTAGTCTTATATATATATATACGTACTCCTGCATGTGAACTGGCCTTGTGGCCTTGAACTTGTGCTCGGATTGTGTGGTGACATTGTGATCCACCCTGAGCTTGCTTTGCTTTACTTGACTGGTCTTGTGACCCCTAGTTCTCCCCCACTTCGCCTATGGGGGTGTGTCAAACATTATATATATTGTTGTAGTTATTTAGGCTACAGTGGGTTAGCCTATAGGGGGTACACACTTCTAGGTTTCCATATTTGTACTCATTTCATTCTTAGTCATTCCATTCCTTGTTCAACAACCCGCACAAACATGGGTGAGCTTCGCAGCTATCTTGGCTTGCAGATCACCCGGGACAGAACACGCCGCAACATCACCCTGACTCAGTCACACATGGTGCAGAAGGTCGTTTAGGGCTTCGGCTTCACTTGGTCCTCGCCACAGTCCACTTGTCTGGCTACCGGCCACTCGCTCTCAGCTCCACCTTCGGACGAGTCCGTAGAGCCGGGTGGTTCGTATCTAGAGCTTGTGGGCTGCCTCATGTGCCTGATGACCTGCACTCGACCTGACCTTGCCTACCCTCTTAGAATCCTGGCACGCTACGTTGCGCCCGGGAGATACTGACCAGAGCACTGGAAGGCCGCTAAGAGGGTGATGCGCTGCTTGTGCAATACGTCGGGCATGGGGCTCGTGCTTGGAGGACGGGCTTGAGCTGTCCTCACTGGCCACGCAGACGCTTTTTTGGTCGACGACTTGGCTACGCAGCGATTGTCACAGGGCTACACTTTCTATCTTGGCTCCGGCTCTGTTTCTTGGCGGTCTACACGCTCATCTTCTGTTCTCTGTTCCAGTTGTGAGGCTGAAATCTATGCAGGGCCATGGTTGCATAGGAGTTACGCTGGCTCACCTACCTGTTAACCGACTTGGGAGAGCGGCCTAGTTCTCCTCCAGTTCTATACGTAGACAGCAAGGCCATAATTGCCTTGTGTCAGGAGCACAGACTGGAGCACAGAACGAAGCGCATCGCTCTGCGTTACTTCCTTGCTCGAGAGTTGCAGCAACGTGGTCAGCTTCGTCTTGTTTACGTGGCCACTCGGGCCAACACTGCTGATATATTCACCAATGCACTTCAGCCTCGTGATTGTCAGCGTTTCTTTACTGTAATAGGCCTTTGCCTACTTTGCCTCACTTGCTCACATCGTGACTTTGCTTGTACTGTGATCTATATACTTGTACCTGCATGCTTACACTTGCTAGGTTGTGATCACTACACTACTTGTTCCCATGTCTATAATTCTGCATGTGAACTGACCTTGTGGCCACTTGCTTGTGCTCAGAGTGTGTGGTGACTTCGTGATCCATCGTGAGCTTGTTTTTGCTTTTCTTGACTGGTCTTGTGACCCCTTATTTTGCCCCACTTTGCCTATAGGGGTGTGTCAAACTATAATGTTGTTTATGTTGTGTAGGCTGTGGTGGGGTAGCCTATGGGGTACAACCCAGTTAGGGTTAGTAATTGTACTCAGTTTGATGTCAATGCAATCATCACTGCTCCTTAGTTTCTGACATGTTTGTGTATGAGTGGGTAGGTGAGGGTGTGTGTGTGTGCATGTGTGTATATGTGTGTATGTGTGTGTGTGTGTGCATGTGTGTGTGTGTGTGCATATGTGTGTGTGTGTGTGTGTGTGTGGGTGTGCACGCGCGTGTGAGTGCGTGGTATGGGGAGGGTGGGGAGGTGTGCATGCCTACGTGAGGGTTGGGGGGTGGTGTCAGAATGTGATGTTTGTGTAGCCTGCAGTGGGGTACTCTATAGCGAGTACAGCCCAAACTAGGGTTTGCTATATGCACTCAACTGCATGCTAGTGAAACCCCTCTTTCCTGTTTATCGTTTTAGTCTGCTGTTTTGACAGGTGGTCGTGGTGGTGTGCGTATGTGTGTCCTTGTAGGGCGATGAGTCTCTAATGAGTGGAGAAACCAGCTGGGAAAACTCATTTTGGATTGGTAGTATACACCTGTCGCAACCGGGGAGAACTCGGGAGGAAGGAAAGTGAGAGGACCAAAGAGCTTGAGAGGCATAGGAGATTGTGAGAGGTGAGGAACCAGCATAAGTAGACCGCTGTGAGCGCTGAAGAGAGCGTGAAGTAGCGGAGAGAGCGTGGGGTGCACGGACAAGAGAAGGGATTGGTGGGAAGAACCTAGATGTGCAAAGGCTGCAAGAGGTGTGGGGAGCATGGGGTTGGCAGAGAGAGAGAGAGAGAGAGAGAGAGAGAGAGAGAGAGAGAGAGAGAGAGAGAGAGAGAGAGAGAGAGAGAGAGAGCGGGCGACGCGGAGAGCGTGAGAGGCACAGGGAGTGAGAGGCATGGAGAGCGTGGGAGGCACGAACGAGAGAAGAGAGTTGTGCCGTGAAGAGAGCATGAGAGGCACAGGCATGGGAGTGACGGAGAGAGCGAGAGCGCTGCAGAGAGAGTGAAAGGAAAACGTAGGATGCATGGTCGAGAAAGAGAGTGGTTGAGAGAGCATGGGTGGTGCGTGGACTTTGGGAAAGCGTGGGAGTGGAGAAGGGCATGGGAGTGGAGAAGAGTGTGAGAGTGGAGAAGAGCGTGGGAGTGGAGAAGAGCGTGAGAGGCGTGGCAAGAAGAGAGTGGTGGAGAGGGTGTGAGTGGGGCAGAGAGCATGGGAGGCATAGGGAGTGTGGGAGGGGAGGAGAGTGTGTGAGCACCACATATAGGGCAATGCTTTTGCTGCTTTCGTTTTATGCCTTAAAGCAACAGTATACTTTTGCAAGCAGGGGTTTCAAAAACCGAACTTGAAAAACTGGTTACGCGATTACAACCCCAACCCCCCGCTTCACAACCGAATCTAGTCCCCAAACGCCCCACGTCTGGCTCCCCGCACTCACAGTTCAAAACCTAAGGAATTGCAAAAGGTAACTGAAACTGCACTAGTGAGAGGATAGCCCACAAGCTCCTACTTCGGTAGCTGATTCTCCGTAGACTGGGCAACGTTCTAACCTAACCGCTGGATTTAGGGACAGAATTATTTATTGAACCGCGTAACGCTGTTCAAGCGCATGCGCGAACAAATTGCCCATTCGTACGAACAAATACCACGCCACCTTAGACAAGGCCGCCCCACGCCTCCTCTCGCTGCCTCATCGCGAGGCCATTAGCGCCGCAATCCCCATTCCGCCGCCTTACCCATTCCTGCTCCTATCGCCTCCCGGTTCGAATTCGCCTCCCCGGGCGTGCTCCTCTCGCATCCCCGCGCTCTCCTCTCGCTTTCCCCCCGCGCTTCCTCCTCACGCCTCCCCGCGCGCTCGACTCTCGCCTCCCCGCGCCTGCGACTCTCGACTCCCCGCGCCTGCTCCTCTCGCCTCCACGCGCCTGCTCCTCTCGCCTCCCCGCGCCTGCTCCTCTCGCCTCCCCGCGCCTGCTCCTCTCGCCTCCCCGCGCCTGCTCCTCTCGACTCCCCGCGCCTGCTCCTCTCGCCTCCCCGCGCCTGCTCCTCTCGCCTCCCCGCGCCTGCTCCTCTCGCCTCCCCGCGCGTGCGACTCTCGCCTCCACGCGTTTCCTCCTCTCACCTTCCCGTGCATGCGCATCTAGCATACGCATCTTCCCTGCCTAGCCTCGCTGCCTCTCCGCGTCTCGCGGCGGCCTCCTTTCGCGAGCTGCACTCGAATAAGGCCCTCGGCCCTCTCTCACTCTCTTGCAACGGCTGTGCTTCCGCATCCCCGCTGCACGCCCTAAAAAACCCCCCCTGAACGCCCTCACTGCCCCACATGTACGCTCTCGTTTTCCCTCCCTGCTTTCCCTCGTTTCCCCACCTTGCACGCCCTCATTTTCTCCCTTGTACGCCTTATTTTCCCCCTTTGCACGATCGCATTTCCCCCCCTGCTTGCCCTCAATTCTCCCCTGCTTGCCCTCAATTCTCCCCTGCTTGCCCTCAATTCTCCCTTTCTCCTCCTCTCGCCATGCCTTCTCCCCCTCCCGCCACCCCCTCTCCTCCTCTCGCCATAGCTTCTCGTCCTCTCACCATGCCTTCTCCTCCTCCTGCCACCCCCTCTCCTCCTCCCACCATGCCTTCTCCTCCTCCCCCCACCATGCCTTCTCCTCCTCCCACCATGCCTTCTCCTCCTCCCGCCACCCCTTCTCCTCCTCCCAACATGCCTTCTCCTCCTCCTGCCACCCCCTCTCCTCCTCCCTCCCTGCCTCCTCCCCCTCCCGCCGTGCCTTCTCGTCCTCCCGCCACTCCTTCTCCTCCTCCCCCTTCTCTCCCTTCTCTCCCTTCCCTCCCTTCCCTCCCTTCTCTCCCTTCCCTCCCTTCCCTCCCTTCCCTCCCTTCTTTCCTTTCTCTCCCTTCTCTCCCTTCCCTCCCTTCTCTCCCTTCCCTCCCTTCCCTCCCTTCCCTCCCTTCTTTCCTTTCTCTCCATTCTTTCCCTTCCCTCCCTTCCCTCCCTTTCCGTCCCTTCCCTCGCTTCTCTCCCTTCCCCCTTCTCTCCCTTCCCTCCCTTCTCTCCCTTCCCTCCCTTCTCTCCCTTCCCTCCCTTCCCTCCCTTCCCTCCCTTCCCTGCCTTCTCTCCCTTCCCTCCCTTCCCTCCCTTCCCCCTTCTCTCCCTTCCCTCCCTTCTCTCCCTTCCCTCCCTTCCCTCCCTTCCCTCCCTTCCCTGCCTTCTCTCCCTTCCCTCCCTTCCTTCCCTCCCCCCTTCTCTCCCTTCCCTCCCTTCCCTCCCTTTCCGTCCCTTCCCTCCCTTCCCTCCCTTCCCCCTTCTCTCCCTTACCTCCCTTCTCTCCCTTCCCTCCCTTCCCTCCCTTCCCTCCCTTCCCCCTTCTCTCCCTTCCCTCCCTTCCCTCCCTTCCCTCCCTTCTTTCCTTTCCCTCCATTCTCTCCCTTCCCTCCCTTCCCTCCCTTCCCTACCTTCTCTCCCTTCCCTCCTTCCCTCCCTTTCCGCCCCTTCCCTCCCTTCTCTCCCTTCCCTCCCTTCTCTCCCTTCCCTCCTTTCCCTCCCTTCCCCCTTCTCTCCCTTCCCTCCCTTCCCTCCCTTCCCTCCCTTCTCTCCTTTCCCTCCATTCTCTCCCTTCCCTCCCTTCCCTACCTTCTATCCCTTCCCTCCCTTTCCTCACTTTCCTCCCTTTCCGTCCCTTCCCTCCTTTCTCTTTTTTCCCTCCCTTCTCTCTCCCCCCTACCTTCTCCTCCATCCCTCCGGACTGCCCCCATCAGTGCCAACCCTCTCTGCGCATCTTTTGTTTCTCCCCCTTTTGTTCTTCACATCCCGCCTCACCATCTCGCTACCCCGCCGCCCCATCTCCCCTTCCTCTCAGTTCCTCTCTTTCTGCCCTTTCGTCCGACCTCTTCATCCTCACCCCTCCACCCCGCATCCCCATCTCTTCCCCCCCTCTTCCCTTTCCCTCCCTGCATCCCCATCTCCCTGCCCTGCATACCTCTCTCCCCTTCCTGCTTCCCCATATCCACTGCATGTTTCCCCATCTCTCCTCCCTGCATCCCCATCTCTCCTCCCTGCATCCCCATCTCTCCTCACCTGCATCCCCATCTCCCCTCCCTGCATCCCCATCTCCTCACCTGCATCCCCATCTCCCCTCCCTGCATCCTCCCGGAACCCTTCCTAAGCCTGCTTCTCCTTACTTCTCCCCTGCTCCCTCCTGCCTCCCTTCATTTCCCCCCCTGATTCCCATCATTTCCCCTCCTCACTTCTGTCATCACAGCCTATGGTTGAATCAAATACTCCCCCTCCCCGGCTACCTGTATTTCAGTGACCAACTGCTCTGAAGATCTTCATCTTCACACCATCTCATGTCAAATAAGCTAGAGAAAGGTCAATAGTACTGTATTCGACTTAGCGAGAGCATATTTCTTTCTACCTGTATGTGATGTGACACCTTCACTGTCCATGTACCTTGGATGAATTATCTTCACTGCTGAAATCGTGGTAGCACATAGCAGGCTTTGTGACGAATATCTCTAGCTGTAACACACTACTCATACCGTACAACGCACAATAGACTACACAAAAGTTCTGAGCACCATCCACTACAAGCTGTGCCTTTGTTTGCATCTGCTGCCCTGTTTCAGCACTACCAATTAGCAGAGTAGGCATAAACGATTGTGTGAAGACCCAGTGGGGACGTGCTATGAGGCGGAAGAGGAAAAACAGACCCTGAATACAAGCAAGCGTACAAGGGAACCATGTGCACAAGCACCGGGGGGCAGAAGGGAAAAGTGGGTGAGGGTGAAGGGGAGCGCATGCAAGGGAAGGGAAGGGAGAAGGGATCGGGAAGAGAAGGGTGGGGCAGGAGAAGGGAAGGGCAGGGAGTGGAGATGTGAAGGCAGGGAGTGGAGATGTGAAGGCAGGGAGTGGAGATGTGAAGGCAGGGAGTGGAGATGTGAAGGATGTGAAGGCAGGGAGTGGAGATGTGAAGGCAGGGAGTGGAAATGTGAAGGCAGGGAGTGGAAATGTGAAGGCAGGGAGTGGAGATGTGAAGGCAGGGAATGGAGATGTGAAGGCAGGGAGTGGAGATGTGAAGGCAGGGAGTGGAAATGTGAAGGCAGGGAGTGGAGATGTGAAGGCAGGGAGTGGAGATGTGAAGGCAGGGAGTGGAAATGTGAAGGCAGGGAGTGGAGATGTGACGGCAGGGAGTGGAGATGTGAAGGCAGGGAGTGGAGATGTGAAGGCAGGGAGTGGAGATGTGAAGGCAGGGAGTGGAGATGTGAAGGGCCCCTCAGGTGGATTGCCTCGTCAGCGAGTGATGATTGGCCGTTGATGGGATCCACTGAGAGGCCGACAGCTGGCGCCATGGTGTCAAACACGTGCTTCACCTGCTGGAGTAGGCAGAATGGCACGGTCGTGGGCGAGGAGGGCGAGAGAGGGAGAGGGGGAGGGCGGGATTGTGTGTTGGGCAAAAAGACAAGTTAGTTTGTGGGGCAATGGTGGGAGAGGAAGGTTGATGGTTAAACATCGGCTGGGAAAGTGAGCTGAGGTAGGTGTGAGTTGGTCTCGAGTGGGCAACACCACCACCGCTCTGACTCACCGCGCCTCACACCCTGCCAGTGCCTGCACCACTTGCAGCGCATACGCCAGTGTCTTGACAGGTGTGTTGGCAGGGAGATGAAAGGGACGAGAGGGGGGATAGGATGGAAGGGATTGGAAAAGCGAAGGCGAAGAGGGTAAATGGTGAGGAACATCAAGGTGTTGGGAAGGAAGAGACATGAGATGGCGTGTAAGGCAGGAGAGATCGGAAGGAAGGGTGGGGAGGAGTGACCTCAAGTCAGGCGGGAACGATGTGCTAGCAGGGGGGAAAGGAGGGATGCAGTGGGGGAAAGGAGGAGAAGCAAGGGGGGGAAAGGAGGGGAAGCAAGGGGGGGAAAAGGAGGGAATGCAGGGGGGGAACGGAGGGGAAGCAAAGGGGGAAAGGAGGAGAAGCAAGGGGGGGAAAGGAGGGGAAGCAAGGGGGGGAAAGGAGGGAATGCAGGGGCGGAAAGGAGGGGAATCAGTGGGGGGGGGGGAGGAGGGGAAGCAAGGGGGGGAAAAGGAGGGGAAGCAAGGGGGGGAAAAGGAGGGAATGCAGGGGCGGAAAGGAGGGGAAGCAAAGGGGGGAAAGGAGGGAACGCAGGGGGGGAAAGGAGGGGAAGCAAGGGGGGGAAAGGAGGGGAAGCAGGGGCGGAAAGGAGGGGAATCGGGGGGGGCGGGAAGGAGGGGAAGTAAGGGGGGAAAGGAGGAGAAGCAAGGGGGGGAAAGGAGGGAATGCAGGGGCGGAAAGGAGGGGACAGAGGGGCGCTAAGCGAGTGACGCGCTAAGCGGGTGACGCGCTAAGCAGATGAGGTGAGCAGCGGGTGAGGCGCTAAGCGGGTGAGGCGCTAAGCGGGTGAGGCGCTAAGCTCGTCGGCCTGAACGCGTTGAGCCCGCCGAGGGCAACGCGGCGGGGCAGGAAGGTGGGCAGACAGTTGCCTTACCAAATTTAGCGATTTTGAATGCAACGATTGCATTGCAGCGATCCCGCCGAATGCGACTAGCCGTGGCGCCTAAGAAATAGGTTACGACGAGCGCGCCGCATACATTGCGGGCTCGGCGAATGCTACGCGGCGGCAGTCCGAATGCAAAGCGGCGGGGCAAACCGAAAGGGAGATGCGGGGCTCGATTGATGGTCGTTTTCGAGGCGTAGCCTAATCTGTACATGTGCAGATACTCCCAGCCATCCATGTGAGATGTCGCGCTATTGGTATAGCACCCTAAAGCCCAGCATGGCTAGTTATATCGCGGAAATTACTAGTAGTCGCTGATTCAATCGCCAAGTGTGTGAGAGTAGCAACGTAGCTTGGTGATGGGAGATTTTCCCATTTTGTTGTGACCCCCCAACCCAACCCTGGTTCCCCGCTTCAGATTTTCGCCAACCCTCTCGCCAATATTTTGTTTTCGTTTTGGCGAAAACGCCTTGCGTGCTGTAGATCCTCAAACAGTACTGTCAAATGTATACTGCTTCTTTAAGGAATACGACTACTGTTGTAATGCACTCTACACCAGCCTGTAATCTACGGTAGTTAGTAGAGACCATGCATGGCTGCTTTCATTAGATGTGTGTTTATCAAGCCCTTTGACTGTAGCATAGATTGCCAAGCTCAATGTTGGATATACGAACATTACCAAGCCCACGAATGACTTACTGGCAGCCAGTACAGCTACCTAAGGATCCTGATAATATCTTTATATTTCTAAACGGGTCTGCTAACTAGCAAGCCCCACATTCTACCTCTCCGTCAAGCGGGCAGCTTCGTGCCTTTCGGGAACTGCGGGTTGTTGACGCCATGCGCGATGAAGTACGGCCCGACGTACATTTGAGGCTGAACCACAGTGCTCCACGTGGGACGCGCCATGCCCACCTGGCCCAGCATGATATTCGGGCCCTTAGGGGACATCTTAACAAGACTCAAACCCTTGAGCTGAGTCCGGAGCAGCTGGCCCCTCGTTATAGCTTGAAGCTGGGTCTGCGTGAAACGGGTCGCGATGATCTGGACGGCGGTGAGGTTGTAGGCGGTATCGGTGGAGATCTTCTTGCCCTTGAAGCGCTTCGCTAGCGCGTCAGCCACGGCGTCGTTCATCAGGAGGAGCGTGGAGTTCTTGAGCGCGGAGAAATCGTACTTGGAGTTCACTGTAACGGGTGTAACGGGGATAAAAGGGAAAACCAAGAGAATTCGCAGAGATGAGAAGGGCGTCAGGACAAGAATGGAATGCTGGTTGTTGAATAATGCCGCGAGATGTGACACCCAAGGCTACACGTGCGGTAATTTCACGCCACTTGAATCCACCGGACACTATAAATCCAGTTCCCTTGACTGATTAGGAAGTGCTGTGCTATTCTGAATTCCTAACCTGTAAAGTGGTTCGAATGCCGGATTTCGATTTAGGGATGCTAAGCAAAGTACTGATTTTGAAAATCCCGATCCTCAACAACTCACATGCAACATTGATGACCTTGTTGACTTGCGCCGAGTACTTGGCGTATTTGGGGTACTTCTTCGTGATCGTCGCCGATAGCTTCTTCAGCTCGGCGCGCAGCTGCGTCTTTGTCGGCGGTGCAGCGCCGTCAACGCTGACGGCCGACAGGCAGACGACGGCTGCGAGGACTAGCGTGACGGCTAAAATGATTGACCGAGCCATGACTGTGCTTCGCCTGCTTCGATTTGGAAACTATTCCGCGAGATGCGGTGAGAGCCGGAGTGTGTTCAGAGAGCTAGGAAAGCGAGAAAGCCTTGAAACAACTAGTGGATCCGAATGAAGTGTAAGGCGTTGTGGAAGGCTACTTCTGAATGGATGGTGCTCAGGTGTTCTATGCTGATTGCTGTTTAGAATGGGAGTGCTCACCAGTGTTTTAGAGACACACTTGTCTATGGGAACCGAGACGCGGAGCAACGAGTCACGACTCGCTACCAGGAGTCCTTCCTGGTCCGCCCTGATTTGTCGGCAGTCTTTTCGGAGCGCCGCGCTGTCAACGCTACAAGAAACGGCGTCCTCAAAGAGCCGCAAGTAAAGCCGTTTCCTTGCGACCGTCAAATGGGTATGGTTGGGACTCCGTGCGACCAACTCGGCAGTTTCTTTTTGCCACCACCTCCCCTCCCCCAACCACCCCCGTCTCCCCTCTTCTCCCAATCCAAGCCAGCCCTTTCCCCCATTGTTTCGTGTGGTGCGGTCACTTGGCCTCTCGATGTCTACGAGCCTGTTCGTCTTGGACTGGCTGGCTCGGGCAGGGATTTGGGAGGGAGCTAGTGCAACGGTGGCCCAGCTCGGGGGATCCTTTGGTCTGGGCAGAACAATGAGTGTTTCAGAAAAATCTTGGCCCCTCAGATCGGAGGGCAAGGGGTTTGCCCTTGCCATGCCATCGTTCACCCGTGGTTTGATTGGTTTGGCTCGGGTGAAGCACGACGCGAAACCCATTCACGGGGCTTGCCATCGTGCAGTATGCAGGTGGGGAGCGACCGACATCGCCACCGCGATTTGATGCTTTCGAAGTACAGTACCTGCCACACCCTACACATGTCGGTGACGCGTTGCTGAGTAACTCGCACCTGTGCATGAGATACATCCGCACAGTCACACATAGAAAGCCTACCAGGCACAAATTCTGGCAATACTAATAAAACTAACTTCTGTTTAGTGAAGGGCAACTCATAAACAGGAGCGGAGCGGATCCATAGCAAATAAGTCTGAGCACAATGCAATGTGCAATGTCAAATGCGATTAAAAAAAAATGTGGTGCAAGCCTAGGTCGCAGTGCTTACATCCCCCATAGGTAGTCAAATACTGTGAAGGCTGCCATGCAAATAAACAGGGGTTGGTCTGGGTGTACCTTGACTCGGGCACCTAGAGATGAAGACGTTGGGTTGAAAATGTTGTCCATCCATAAGGAGATTAGTTTTCTTGCAATAAGACAAGACTTCCATTCCATTAGTTTTGTGTACATACGGTGATAGACTACACCACCCTGCCACAGAAACTATCTGCCCTTCACTGTGGCAATATGTTGTTGTAGTTGCACCGCAATCATAGCACCACCTTGCTGGCCAGACATATTTGCCCAAGATTGGGGGCAGGAAGGAAAGCGCAAGTGGAGCGTGCAAATGGAAAGATGACGGAAAGGGGAGAGGGGGGAGAGGAGGGTGGAGAGGTGGGGTGGAGTAGAGGGGTGTGGGGAGGAGAGTGGAGGGAAGGCGAGCTGAGGGGGGGTTGGTACAGGACAGGTCACAGAAGCCTTCACACGCACCACCAGCACCCACTATAATTCTAGATGGATACTTGCTGGTTTCCATATGAGAAATGTACTTGCATGCCAGATTTGCTGGTGAATACTTGAACGTGCCATTAAGTGGCGAATATCGTGATGTCGTCTGCTGAGGTAATAGCAGAGAAGGGCGTGGTTCCCAACAGTTGAAGAAGTGTCAGCTCCTTATACTCCCTGCGACCTAGGAATCCATGCTGGTTTGAACTATTTGCACTGGGAGAGTTTCTTTGCTCACTTCAGCGCAACATTGACTGTGGCGGAGGTGGCAAGCCTCTTGCTTGAAGTATCCGCATGTTCTCTTCATAGCCTGGAAAAGAACCAAGAAACTTTCGTGAACGCGCAGACAGGAATGTACTTTCCGGAATCTTCATCAGCCACAGGATTCATGAAGGCTTCAGGTCAAATACAGGAGCAAGCCCAACAACCAGGTGTGAATAGCGTACCTCGTTTCGGGTCCCATCCTCGGTTCTTAAGCTCTCTGATTTCTTGAGCTAAAGAGCAGCACAAGCAAGCGCAATGCATTAAGCAGTCACCGCAGGGTCGCGGAGGTAAAACGTATTTCTGTCGTAGCTTGTTCCGAACTCCTGTCAGTTCAAAGGATTCACCGAGTCAGCGATACGAAATGCGGCACCAGGAGGACTGGAAGGACAGAAACATTTGATTACTTGGTCGTTTAGAAAAAAGAGAACAAAGGCGGAACACCTTACCTTGAGAATAAAGGCATCCAAGCATTACTAATTGGAAGAGGAAGAATAGACAGCACGATGTCGTCGCATCTGTTCATATTGACCCAATAAGAGAACGGAATGCATCATGGGTTGACTTCAGTTGAATAAGATATTGAGCATTCACATAGCGAATGACGTGGCTCGGGTTCAATGCGAAAATATGCAATGCGACTCTGCGATAATGGGAGATCGTAAGCGTATCTAACCTGAGTCGCCGTCGGTGACGATTTCTGTTGTTCGTCCCACGAGGACGCACGGACAAAAAAGCGCACAGCACGCTGGCCACACGATAATAAACAAGGTCACGGAGAATTCAAACTGTCAGCTACATGAACGTACGAACTGCTAAATAAGCTATCTAGAAGAAAGACCTGTTGAACGAAATACGTCACCGTAATCAGAAACCACGCTGGGGAACAACACCGACGACACGATAACTGCAGAAAGTGTACCTACTGGTTGCACAGTCTTCGTGGCAATCCGTGCATGACGTCGTCCAGTCACCTATAGGCACACCGTAACCCATTCTGCGGTCAACTAATGCGAATCTGTTTCACCTAGAATGTGCAATAGTTACTACGCAGAACAGTAGCTGCAAATTCTCGAAACAGGTCCTCCACAAGCTGCTACCGCCTAGTTCCGGACGCCTTCGCATTAAAGTACATAGTACAGCCTAGAGTTCCAGACGCCTATTTTACTTTAGACTAGTAGTTTCGTTGCCCTAAATCAGACAATGGGATTCGCCTCGAAGACGTAAGCGGGGAAACCACAGGAGACGATTGACAGCAAAACGCGCTTTGCCTCTCAATCAACTATGCCTGTCCCTCCCTGCCTCAGGTGCCTTCTCGCTGACACGGGCAAACGACGGATTCCGTTCCGATCTGTTCTGTCACCTGTACTCAATCATACCGCGATGCTTTCTCGCAGATAAATGTGGATTGTCAGGTTCGGAGGGGAGACCGACAGAGCAGACGTACAGACCTGAGATTGGTGAAGTAGGCTAGATGAGTCGGACGGAGTCTCCAACGGATCAGATTGATTTAACGATACCTCGAGCCTGACGAATGTGGGAACTACCGGTTCGCGCTGGCTGCTTCGGGAGCTACGAGCCATACCAGCTAACAATGGCAAGGAGGGAGAGAGGTTTGACGTAGGTGAGGCAGGGCTAGCCGAAACGGGTCAGGGGAGAATTCAATTGCTGCTGGTCTGACTGGCTGGCAATCAAAATACAAGGACGTGGGTATGGTTCATCATCTTCCTCATTTCTACACTGTTACACATCACATATAGATTTGACAAAATCTAAGTAATGATCACGTTTCCATTCCCAATAAGATGCAGGAGGAACAGCATGATTTCATTGATCCATTCAAAATTGCCAGATACTACAGAGACCACACGACACGCCCTACTAAAAAGGACATGCCTTCGACTTATGATAGAAACCTCCTTCCTGAAAGCAAAGATAGGAAGCGTCGTGAGAAGCCTGGACAACCACAACACAAGCATTTTCAACCCAACCAATGCGGGACTTGAACTTCACCTTAGATCTTGTTGAAGGCCACGATGTCGCAGCTCTGGATGTACTCAGCAGCCTCGCCCTGCTGCAGGTGGTCCTCAATGAGCTCATCCAGCGACACAAGGTCGTCCACAATGGTCATCATGATCGTCATCTTCTTGATGCCGTACCCAACGGGGACCAGCTTGGCTGCGCAGCATAGCAGAAAAGCAATTTAGCAGACAAAACATTGCAAGGGTTAAAGAGTTGTGCAGATGAGCAGCGATCCAGGTCAAAACGCTCTCAAAGCACGTGCTGCAGAGGACCTCACAAAGCCACACCATCCGACCTAAACCCTTACTACCCACCAAGCCTCTCAATTGTCCAGGGTTCAATCCCCAAAAAAATTTCAGTGCATGCAGAAGGTGAGAAATAGAGGAAAATAGGTAGGGTACTCACAGGCGCCCCAGAGCAGGCCGTCCATCTGCACCTTGCGCACGGCCGCCTCCAGCTTGGCCATGTCCGTCTCGTCGTCCCACGGCTTCACGTCCAGCAGCACCGACGACTTGCCGCCTGCCACACACGCAACACGCACACCACGTCAGTTCAGCTTCAAGACAGTTTGCATCGCCCCAACGGTACAGCCACAGGCGGAAAACCATGTCGAGGTTCAGGTAGCATAGTTTAGGCAGGCGGTCAGGCGGATACTCACTCTCCTTCTTCTTGCCCGAAGCGGCCGCCTTCGCCTCACGCTCGGCCGCCGCGGCCTTCTCCTCCTCCGTGGCCTCGCCGAACAGATCCAGATCGTCGTCGTCGTCGTCCTGCCATCGCACGGCCGCGGGCATGAGCACGGGGGCGTTTGGGAGGTGGGGGAGGGTTCACTAATCTAGATTGCCTTCCCAAATAAGGAAAAAAAAAGCAGGATGCGAGATCGCAACAATGCATGGTGGGACTGCAAGATCTGAGTTTTGGATGTGGCACTATCACGTGCTCGCTGCGAGGTTTTAAGATTGTCTGGTGCGGAAACTGCCGGCTTCAAGCCGGAACTAAGCTTTAAGCGTCGGCGGCAGCACGTCAATTGACAGCACACTGCACGATGCATGCGGCATGCTGTCACTCGCTCTGCGGTCCCCTTTACAACACATGCACTCAACACTCTCGCGCACGGTCAAGAATAAGGACAGCGTTGGTTCATCATACGTCAGTCACTCCACAGCCTAACCCTGATATGCATTAGGGTATCAACCAGATCCACGTCAGAGCACCAGCCGCGCACCTCTGATAGTCAGCGTACCTCAGCGGGCTTGGCCTCGGCAGCGGGAGGAGTGGCGACAGCTGCAGTGGGAGCAGCGGCGGCAGGAGCAGCACCGCCGATCACCACACCCACGCCGGGGCCGGCGAAGCTGGGAATAGAAGGATCGAAAGTAGACAGCGGGCAGAGGGAAGACAAGACGCGGAACGAAATGACATCAAACGACGCGACGATACGATAACATCGTCAGGGAGGCGCCCCAGAGACCAACGATGAGGCATCGCCGCGGACATAGGGTGTGGAGTTAGTGGTCACAGATCAGGGATAGAAGTACGACAAACATCGATGACATGCCCCACTCAGGTTAAGTCAAGACATAAGAATACCGGCTTTTCAGATAAGTAGTTTATTACGGCATAAAAAAACACTGCGATAAGAACTCAAAGAATGACTCACTTAGCACCGAGCAGCGCCTTAATGTGGGTGTACCACCGCGCCGCGTTGGTGTAGCCCTTGGGGAACGTCTTCAGCGCGCTGTAGACCGTGAGGTCATCGCGCGACGCCTGGAAGCTGCGAGGCAAGAGATCGAAACAGGAAAGGCGGAGCACAACACAATTGGGGAAAGTAGCAGCAAGATGAAAGTAGCAAGGACGAGGGGAGAGCGGGATGCAATGAAAAGCGGCGTGTAGTGAAATGGGGCGGGAAACGCGGAAACGCGACTAGATCCAGCGTCAACGGTCTCAACGATGCAAACCCTGAACCCCTCAAGGAATCCGTACCCCGAGATGTAGCTGCGGGTGAGGAGGTACTCGTCAAGCTGCTTCAGACCATCAGGGGTGGAGAGATCACCGAAAGAGATAGCCATTGTAAGTGAGGTGTGTGATTACCGAAGTCTGAAGTGAGACAAGACGAGATACAGCAATGCTGTGAAGGGGAGTCGGAGACTGAAAGAAGGAAAGACTGGAAACGGTCGAGGTGACAATCAATTTGTTTAATTAAACTATATGTTAAACATTTTTGATAATGATATGGGGATGTAGCCCAGATGGTAGAGCGCTCGCTTAACATGCGAGAGACACGGGGATCGATGCTAAGCATCTTCACATTTATATTTCTAGGGTATCGAATAATCGATACAGAGTTGTCCCTTCCGAAACAAGTAACTACACTACGTAAATGATTAACAGGTGTTGTCGAGTGGCATTAATACACTGCTGTAAGGAAACTCCCTTTTCCTTACTTCGTATCTCTGCTCAACGCGTACATCACTGTAGCACCTCAGTCAGCACCGTTACCACTCGCGACCATCGCATCATTCATCATCCCGCCATTTTCGCACATCGCATCCCGACCTCACGGCTCGGCTGGTAACCCGCGCTCCGGGCCTACGCTTCGACACGTTCCCAACCTCAGTCCTAGGCTCGTCGCGCGACCATTACCGTTACCACTGTAGTTTCGCTATATATTCTTCGCTCATGCCTTCGCTCATTGTACTCTTGCTTCGATAGTGCAATTCTCGTTCGTTCACTCAATTGCACTCGTAACACTTGGTATTCAGAGCCTACGATCCCATCTCGGACCGCATCCACACCTTCGCTTCCCCACTATCTCAATTTTTGGGGGGGGTAGACGTCTCTCAGCGATACAACACCGCCGCTCGTAGTGCTCTCTCGCAAGCACGCACGGCCACGACCGAGGCTCTCGCTGAGCTTGCCCGACGCCCCCGCCATGGCCGACTTCACGCTCGCCACATTGACGCAGGAGCAACTTGATCGTCTCGTTCGTCAACTGGAGGATTCGGCGCTTGAAATCGCGACTCTCACGGCGGAACGTGACTCCGCCCGTCAACAATCCACGATGAACATACCGACGACATCCCACGCACCAACAAACGCATCTGCACGTTCGGATGAGCCGATCATCATCTCGTCCGGCACACCAACACAACACGACAGCACGGGACAACGCTCAAGCGCAGCCAGTGAGGGCGCCGCCCAGCCGATGCCTGGCATGGGAGGAAACAGGATCGCACCAAGCCCACGGGAGCCTCGAGAAGTCCGTCGGCACGTGGAATTTGCGGCGACAAGTGGCGAACAACCCAACATGGCACCAATGCCGCTCAAGCCGCAACGCCCGCCCTGCTTCGACCCAAGTCAACGCGGCGGTCCGACAGTTCAATCGTGGGTCTTCACGATGAACGTTTTCTTCGACGCCAATTACGTCGAGTCGGACGCCGCAAAGATCCGGTATGCGGTTTCACTGCTAAGGGGCCCCGCCATGGACTGGTGGCGAGTCATCGTGACGTCGCCACGCGCCTACGAGCCACCGTCGCACGAGGAAGGGCCCTCGGGTCCAGCTGTCACCTGGAGTTCGTTCTGCGAGACCGCCCAATACAGCACGTGGGATGCGTGGTGCGCAGGACTTCGGGCGCGTTTTGAGCCGATCGCGGCTTCAATTTCGGCGCGTCATAAACTGCGCACTTGGCGCCAGCTCGGGTCAGTTCAAGACTATACCAGCGGTTTTCTCGCACTTTGCGAGCAGGTCGGCTACATGCACGAAGCGGAGCGGGTGGACCGTTACGTCGGAGGGCTGAAGCCGGACATCTCGCACGAGATAATGCTGCGCGGACTCTCTAACTTCAACGAGATTCTCGCCCTCGTCGAGAAGATCGACATTCTACGCCGACCGAGACCGGGGTCCTATTACGGACATCGTCCTCGGGGACCGACCGAGCACGCCACTGTACACGCCGTCGCAACGAATGCAGCTGCCGCACCGTTTAAGGGGCGCTGCTTTGCTTGCAACAGGCCGGGCCATCGCAAAAGCGAATGCCCAGAGGAGCTGAGGCGCCGAGGAGCAGAGCAGGGGAGGGAGTCTCAGAGGCAGGGAAACGCAAGCAGTCAGTAGAAGTTGGGCCAACTACTGACGAGACTGCCTGCTCGCCCAACCGCACCGACCCTCACCGAGTCACAGTACCGATTCATGCCATCGATCGGGCTCGGATGAATAAGGAGGGTACAGCGACGGATTGCCCGGTACTAATCTACGGGAAAATACAGGGAGCAGCAGTGAAGATTTTTATTGACGGAGGAGCAAGTCACAGCTTAGTTAATACCGCAACCGCACGGAAATTACAGTTAACACTTAACCGATGCTTACCTGAGATAGATGCACGCTTAGTCGACGGCACGCCACTAGCTATACGGGAAAAGGTGGAGAGAGTAAAGGTCCGCTGCGGAGGGAACTTCGGGTTTACACAGGAAATGCTCGCAACGACACTGGATGGGCACGACATTTTATTGGGACGTGATTGGCTGCGACGGTATAACCCACGAATTGACTGGACGACGGGTAGCTGCACAGTGCGAAGTAGTGGTAACTGGGTCGTCCTACCTCGCTGGCAGCCACCCGAGTCTTCGACGGTCCAGGTCAACGCCATCACGATGAAACGGGCTGTCGCTGCTGGAGCTGACGTATACGCAGTGGATATCGCATTAGTGGAAAAAGAGGAGCAGCCGAGTGATTTGCAGAAACTATTGGCAGCCGTACCACCCGAACTACAGGCACTACTGAAACGGTTCCCGGGTATCTTTCTGGATGACTTACCGCAAGGGCTGCCACCTCAGCGGGCGCATGACCATAGGATCGAGTTAGAACCGGGGGCACAACCAACTGTACAGCGCCAATTTCGACTAACACAGCCCGAGCTCGACGAACTAAGGAAGCAGTTAGATTACCTGTTAGAGAAACAGTTTATCCGACCGAGCTCGTCACCGTTCGCCGCACCGATACTGTTCACACCGAAAAAAGACGGAGGGTTTCGCATGTGCATCGACTACCGAGCGCTTAACAGGGTAACAGTAAAATCACGATACCCCATCCCCCGCGCCGACGAACTGATCGACCACCTGCGAACCGCACGAGTATTTTAGAAAATAGACTTATGAGGAGGTTACCATCAAATTCGGGTCGAACCATCGGACTGCGCCAAGACAGCATTTAGGACTAGGTACGGATCATTCGAGTACACAGTGATGCCTTTCGGGCTGACCAACGCGCCTGCAACATTTCAGATGACCATGAACGAGGCGTTTAGGCCACTTTTAGATAAATGCGTCATAGTTTACCTCGACGACATCCTCGTTTACAGTCGGGACCAGCAGCAGCACTTAGTAGATCTCGAAGCAGTTTTTAAAATTTTAGAGGCACATCGGTTACTCACCAAGGGCTCCAAGTGCGAGTTTTTTCGGGACAGGCTAGAGTTTTTAGGTCACGTCATTTCGGAGGCTAGGGTTGAGATAGACCCTAAGAAGCTGGATACCGTAAAAGCGTGGCATCCCCCGACGAACATCACGGAACTGCAGAGTTTTTTAGGGTTTGTTAATTACGTTCGTCGGTTCGTCCCCGACATGGCACGCTTAACAGCCCCGCTCACTGATTTACTGCGTTAGGGGGTTCCTTTTACGTGGGGGGAGAAAGAGCATGCTGCCTTCTCTGCCCTGAAAAATGTTCTCTGTTCACCACCCGTCCTACGCATCGCTGACCCACACCGCATTTTCGAAGTTGTTACAGACGCGAGTGACATCGCCATCGGAGCCGTACTATTACAGGACTTCGGCAACGGCCTCCAACCCATCGCCTACGAATCACGCAAGCTACATCCACCTGAGCGAAATTACCCGATACACGACCGCGAAATGCTCGCGATCGTGCATGCATTCAAAGTGTGGCGCTGCTACTTGACCGGCGCAGACGTGACAGTACGGACAGACCATCGATCCCTACAGTACCTTCGCGCACAGCCCCACCTCAACCCACGACAGATTCGGTGGATCGACTTCCTCGAGTCGAATTTCCACTATACGGTCACATATAAAAAAGGAGCCTCGAATATCGCCGACGCACTGACCCGCCCCACTGCCCAAATCCATGCGATACTATTCGCCCAGACCAGCCCGTTACTGACAGGACTATTTACCCACGGATATCAAACAGACCCATTCTTCACAGGAGGAAATTCACAGCAATTCGCAGCAGCCAAGGGGGTCTATTACGTAAAAGCTGGATGCGACCGCATCTGGGTACCAGGGTACACGCTACTACGAGAACTACTGTTACAGGAGGCACATGACGGAGTTACCTCGGGACATTTCGGAGTAGAAAAAACACGGCAGCAGCTGCAGCGGTACTATTACTGGCCGGAAATGTTGACCGACGTGCAACGACACGTGGCATCGTGTCCCACTTGCCAACTCATGAAGTCAACCAGAAAGCGGCCGGCAGGACAATTACAACCAATCCCACCTCCAGAGCGTGCTTGGTAGCAGGTGACGATGGACTTCGTCACGGGGTTACCGGCCGGGGCGAGTGGGAATGACGCGATCCTGGTCGTCGTCGATCGACTAACGAAAATAACACATTTCGCAGCATGCAGGAAATCAATCACAGCCGAGGAAAGAGCCCGACTCTTCATCGCCACCGTCGTTCGACTGCACGGGATACCAGCGTCGATCATCAGCGACAGGGACACGAAGTTTACCAGTAATTTCTGGCGGAACCTGTGGCAGCAGTTTGGCACGCGACTTCAATTCAGTTCATCGTATCACCCCGAAACCGACGGACAGACAGAACAGACAAACCAGACTAAGGAGCAACTCATTCGAGCCACGTGTGACAATCCAAACACGTGGGAGCAGCAGCTGCCTCTCATCGAGTTCGCATACAACAACGCGCCATCTGCCACGACCCAATAGTCGCCATTCTACTTGAATTACGGACAGAACCCAACAGTACCCATGACACCAAACCCCGACAATCCCGTTCCACGCGCACAACAGTTCGCCGAGATTTTGCAAGCAGCACGGACCAGGGCAGCAGAAGCAATTAAAAAATCAAATATCATTGCTAAACGCAACGCCGATCGCCACCGCAGACCCGTCACTTATCAGCCCGACGACCTCGTTTTACTCGACACTCAGAACCTCCGTCTGCCCATCACTCCCAAACTCCGCCCTCGATACTGTGGGCCATTTCGAATCAGTCACATGATCACACCTGTCACCGCGCACCTCCTCCTTCCTGCTGACTGGTACGTCAGCCCCTCGTTCCACGTCAGCCTGCTTCGCCCTTACGTACCATCCACCAGCCAACTCCCACGACATCGACCATCCAGCATGTCACGACCACCAACCGAACCAGTCATCACCCCCGACAAAATCTTGAGCCACAGAGTTCGCGACCCTCGAGGGGCCCGAAAAGTTGAGTTTCTGATTCGCTGGAAAGATCGTACACCCACCGAGGACAACTGGGTTCCCCTGGACAGAATTGAAAACCACCCTGTCGTCACCGACTATCTACGCAGCTGAAACTTCAAAGACGTCCACGCGCTTTCGTAAGGAGGACCTTTTAGGAGGGGGGGGTAGTGTAAGGAAACTCCCTTTTCCTTACTTCGCATCTCTGCTCAACGCGTACATCACTGTAGCACCTCAGTCAGCACCGTCACCACTCGCGACCATCGCATCATTCATCATCCCGCCATTTTCGCACATCGCATCCCGACGTCACGGCTCGGCTGGTAACCCGTGCTACGGGCCTACGCTTCGACACGTTCCCAACCTCAGTCCCAGGCTCGTCGCGCGACCATTACCGTTACCACTGTAGTTTCGCTATATATTCTTCGCTCATGCATTCGCTCATTGTACTCTTGCTTCGATAGTGCAATTCTCGTTCGTTCACTCAATTGCACTCGTAACACTTGCGAAAACCACACCAGCACCTAGCTTTATGCAGAACTGTTACGAATAACGAGTAGAATGTAGAGATTGGTCAGCATAGCTCGCAATATCGATGCTACTATCTGGAGGGAAGTTGTCTTTGGAGCGTACGGTGCAGCCCACTCTCCGCCACACATTATTTATCTGTGGCTGGATCAGTTTGCCAGGATGCGCTCCCGACCCGAGCCTGCAAGAGTGACCCTCCCGTTTCTGACCACCAAAATCGAGGTGCTTCATGAGCCACGTATTTTAACCCAAACCTTCACGGGCCCTGAGGTTCGGTCCTTGGTTAGGCTAGGCCCCTCTTGCAGCCCCCTTGCCTGATCAGATCAACCTTTTGGCCACCTTGTAAAGTGGCGACGCTTTTCCAAGAACCATTGAAAGATCCAACGGTCCTAGTCGCTCCTGTATTTGTGGCTGTGGCTCCTTGGGATTTTTGTGCCTGGCATGGCATGCACCGTGCCGAAGCACACTGGGTTTGCTGGGCTTCTCATCTGCTTCAGCTGGGGTGAACCATGAGCCATGTGCCTACCTGCTGCTAGCCTTCTCTTTGTCGCTGACAAGAAGTGAACTCGCCTCACCTCACCAATGTTGATTTTTCTCGGATATTTTGCAGAAGCACAAGTTGCGAATATCTTTAGCTTCACTAAATAGATGCTCATGGAGTTGCTTCCTTTCTTCAGCTTGGTGGACCCGTAGCCTCTAGCCGAGCTGCGTAACTCAGACTCAACCAGATCGAGTCTGCGTGTCATGAATCCTCAGACTCAAACGCAAGGTACAATGGAGCCTAATCCCGAGGTACCGTCAAACGTCCCGGCAACAACGGCGCGACCCGTATTCCCCCAAAACCTTAGTCCCTTCCCGTTCCTGCTGGTCCTCGTCGGCCCGCCGGGCAGCGGCAAAAGCAGATTTGCTGGACTCTTGATCGCGGATGCCGCCTTACGATACGAGCGCGTTTGCCAGGTCTGCCTCTCTAGCTGCTCTTCGATTCTAGGAAATAGGGAACCGTCATTTAGGTCACGAATAAACAAAAACTCTATCTGCTTAGACGATTTCGTGTCTGACATGAAGTTCTTTCAGGCACATCGCTTGACTACGACAGTAACGGCCATGATACAGTTTGATTCCCACGCTTATTTGACATGCTCTGAGTCATGCCATCTGCGCACATTGAAGGTTCCGAGATGGGCAACCCAGGCATAACGTATCAATCTCGCACCCGGACTGTCTCCATATGTATTCAGGTTCATGAGCCCGCACCTATTTCCGTTGCAGTCCCTCACATGAACCTCAGTTCCCAAGTGCTTTTGGAGTCAGCTGCTCGTCCTGCAGATTTCACAGCCATTCCCGTCTTCCCGTGACGTTTCTCCCCCATGTGGTTTCTGATGTCAGGACGTGGCGTCATCGCGAGGGACACCTGGCACTCGGAAGCAGTGCTTGGCGCAAGTGAGTGGTTATCGTGCACTTTCCCAACCCTCTGGATGTCCAATACGTTCTCGCTGATCATGGGAATGTCCGTTGCTGCACACCTATCATCGTCACTGATGTTGGTAGACCTGAGCGGACACGCCCTGCCAGGTACTAACCCCCTCCCTTGTTTCGCGCTCTTCCTTCTTACTCTCTTCCTCCTTCAACTTTCACTCACCTCGCAGGTGAGGCGGCACCTGCTGTCCGGGGCGAGCGTGGTGCTGGACCGCTGCAACATGAGCGTGGAGCAGCGCGCCGAGTTCCTCCCTCTCACGCTATTTCTACCTTCCCCCCTTGTCCCCTTGTCTCGCGCTCTCTGTTCTCGCAGGTGAGGCGGCACCTGCTGTCCGGGGCGAGCGTGGTGCTGGACCGTTGCAACATGAGCGTGGAGCAGCGCGCCGAGTTCCTCGCGCTCGCGCGCAACTGCAACGTGCAGTCGCACGTGCTCGTGTTTGAGCTCCCCGTGGCGCTCGTCGTGCAGCGCGCGGTCAACCGAGTCAACCACGAGGGCGGCGTGCAGGTGAGAGGGATTTCTTAGTCGACTCAAACGTGCAGTCGCACGCCAGTGGAAGCAAGGGGTTAACCGCGTCAACCACGGGGGCGGGCGGAGTGAGTAAAGTTGACCGAGAGCAGACGTGTGCTTGTAAGGCCTCAACTCGCACCCCTCTCTGCCTCTCACCCCGCAGGGCCCCCGGGCTGCGAGCATCATACGGCATCAGATGAAGATGCGCGAGCCCCCTGCAGCGGTGGAGGGCTTTCAGCGCGTCACCGTGTGCCGCACCGACGCCCACGTGGACCAGGCGCTCTCCTTCTACCGCGCCCTCCGCCCCTCCGCTTTTGCCGCTGCCAGTGGTGGCGGTGGTGCTGAGGGTCCTGGCGTAGTGGGGCTGCAAAGGGCGGGAGGAGGAAGCCTGGAGGTGCAAGCAATGCAGCAGAGGCACGGGGGAGAGGAGCTAGACGCGCGGGTACGGGAGATGCAGCTGGGGCACTGGAGAGAGGGGGAAGATGCGCAAGCGCAGGGACAGGGAGAAGAGGGAGCAGAGGGAGCGAGGCAGGGAGGTCGGGAGGGCCCAGGGCGTGTATGGTGGAAAGGGCGTGCAGAGAGAGAGCGGGTGAGCACAGACACACCCTCCCACAGTGTACTGTGTACCCGTGCTGCTACTGCTACTGCTACTGCTACTGCTACTGCTACTGCTACTGCTACTGCTACTGCTCCTCTCTCTGCTGCTGCTGCTTCTGCTCCACTCCGTGCTGCTGTAGGTGCTCCGCGTGTGTTAGGATCTGATCCTCCCTTTTCTACTGCTGCCACGCCAGGAACCCAGGAGCGACCAGCCGCGTTGGGAACGAGGGGGCGAGGGGAGAGGCAGGGGGAGGGGGAGGGGGATGTGGAGGGGGGGTGGGGAAGGGGGGAAGAATGTGGCGGAGAGAGGGGGAGAGAGAGGATGGTATGGGGACGGGAAGGGGAGGAATTTAGTGTGGAGGGGTGAGAAGAAGTGGGATGGGGAGGGAAATGGGAGGGCGGTAGAGAGAAGGGGAGAAAGGGAGGGCGATGGGGATAGGGAGAGACGGGCGAAAGAGGGAGCAGGAGGGGAGGGAGAGCAGCAAAAAGCACCGAGAAACCGAGAAGAAGAGGAGGAGAAGCAAGTGCGAACCATGTCGTTTGGTTGTAGTCAAGGTGCGGCTGGTAGGGTAGACGTAGGCGTGGGAGCAGTAGAGTCACGTGCCTCTGTAGCTGCTTCTGTGACTGCTGCTGTAGCTGCTGCTGTGCCTGCAGCAGAAGCAGTGGCAAGCAGAGCAACGGAAGGTAGGAATGTGGGCACAAGTAGAGTAGGCGATCATAGTACTTCAATGGCTGGAGTGTATGATGTGAGGCGGTTTTTCCGTGCCAAACCGCAACAGGAAGCTGTTATTTACGGGGATGCGGGGATGGGCAACAGCGGAGGGAGGAGAGATGAGGTTGATGGATGGAGATGCGAGAAACATGGGGAAGCGACGACAGAAGCAGAACAGAGCGAGAAGGAGGAGCAGCGGAAGCAGCAGATTGAAGAACAGAGGCTGCGGCAGCAGCGGCAGCAGTGGCAGCAACAGCAGGAGAAGCAGCAGGAGCAGGAGAAGTGTGAAATGGAGCGATGGTGGAAGAGAAGACGAGTGCACAGTGATAGCGAGCGAAGCGCAGGTGGGAGGACATTCCCTTTCCACTGTCACCGTTCCTCTCACTCTTCCATCCCTCGTTTTAATTTCCACCTCCAACCCCAGAGTCCAATCTTTGTCCCTGTTCTTCTTCTCGAGGTATCTCGGCAAAAGCTTGCTCCGGTGACAAGTCATAAAGCGCTTTTGTCGAGAAGATACCACGTGTGCTGCTTTTCTTCCACGAGTGCTCCGCTCTCACTCTCTCACCCTCGCCCCTCGCCCCCACCGTCTCCCTCTCTCACTGCCCCGCGTGCTACCGCTGCTTCTAGGGTGCAGGCATCGTGAATGGGCGGGGAGAGGCCCTCGTGGATGCGCAGGGGGAAAGGCTCGTGGATGGGCGGGGGGATGGTTGCGTGGATGGGCGGGGGAAGGGCCGAGGAGAGGTGGGTGAATGGCGACATGTGCAGGCACATGGGAACCTGGAGAGCTCGTTTGGGCTGAGGCAAGACGGGTGTGAGCAGATTGCTGCTGCCGCTAATGAAGGGGCCGAGAAGAACGAGGGTCGACAAAGAGGAGGGGAGGGGGGAGGCAAGGGCGACGAGCACGATCAGCAGAGGGAGGAGCGCAGAGATCACCGAAAGGTGGATGGAAACAAGGGAGAGGAGCAGGACGATGAGATAGACGAGGAGGAGCAGCAGCAGCCACCGCAGCCACCGCCACAGCAGCAGCAACAGCAAGCGCAGCAGCGGGAGGCAGCAGGACGGTGGGTGCTGGCGTTTCCGTCCATCTCAACGGCTGATTTCAAGTTTGACAGGGAGAGGGCGGCTGCAGTGGTGCTTGACTGCGTCACTGAGTTCCTCTGGCGCAACGGGGGCAGCAGCCACGGCAGCACCACTGCCAGGAGTGCGGGCGAGGGCAGGGTGGGTGCGGAGGGTCGTGAGGGTGGTGGGGACTGTGAGGGTGGTGTGGGTGGTGTCGAGGAAGGGGAGAGGGAAGGGAGCAGGTTTGAAGGGATGGTTATAAGTGGTACTGGTGCTGCCACTGCTGCTGACGATGGTGGTGGTGGTGCGGTTGCTGGCACTAATGTTGATGCTAGTGCTGCTGCTGCTGCTGCTGCTGCTGCGGTAAGGGATGCACTGAGGCGAGGGGGGAACGGCAATGGGAACGGTGACAGTAACGGTGTCAGTGGAATGGGCAGCTGTAGCGTGAACGGAAACGGAAACGGAAACGGAGGTGATAATAACGGTGCCAGTACCAGACACAAACAGCCTGCAGCAGCAGCTAAAGAAAGACCCTCAGCACCTGGAGAAACGAGACAAGCATCACCGCCCAGAGCACCCGAGAGCAGACAAAGATTGCCGGCAGGCGGCAACACATCGTCTACAGTGTCTGACTCCCCGCCGAAGCAAGAGACGCTTGAGCGCTGTCCAATCCTGGACGTGGTATTGGTGGATCTCTCGCCCTCCTCTGACATGCTGAGGCGAGTGAAGCGCTTGGCTCGCCAGAGGGGGCTGCCGTTCGTTGAATCTGGACGGCTTAGGCGAGGAGCGGATGGTGGAGAGAAAGACAAGGCGAGACGGTTCATTGAACCTGGGCGGGAGGGAGGAGCCGAAGGTGGGGGGAAGGGTGAGAGGGAGGAAGAGGGGCGAGGGCATGTGGCTAGGGAAGGACCAAGAGAGGGCCGAGCTGAAGGTGCTGCTCCTGCAGCAGCAGCTGTCACTCTTGGTGCTGTCACTGCAGCTGTGGCCGCCACCGCTGCTCCTCCTGTTGCTGCTGCTGCAGGTGGTGGCAGGGGCGCTACTGGTACAGGGGCTGGAGATGTGTGTGATGGCACTGCTGCTGGAGAAGTTGGTAGAGAGGGAAGGAGGGCGGGCAGAGGTGGTGACAAGGACACGTGGGATGACAGCACACGTGGCAGATTCATTCTGCATGCCGGGGATATCACCAAGATGAGGTCGGATGGCGGCATTGAATGCCACATCATCGCAAACTCGGCCAACTGGTAGGCTGACGTGGCATCGCATGGAATGCTGCTTCCACCATGCATCAGCACGTACAGTAACACGTGGTACTTATTTGGCATGCGTCTCATACCCTGAGACTTCGATTATACACATTATCATAGGCGTCCATTATATGCCCATTGTGCACCGTGCAGTACTCTGTACTGAATGATATACTGTACTGTGCTTCCTCTCTTGGCTGTGCTGTGCTGTGCGTGGGTGTGTGTGTGTGTGTGTGTGTGTGTGTGTGTGTGTGTGTGTGTGTGTGTGTGTGTGTGTGCTGTGCTCTGTGTGTGCGTGCAGCCGTCTGTTACCAGGTGGGGGTGGAGTGAATGCAGCCATCCATAGTGCTGCCGGCCCCAGCCTCATTGAGGCTACACGGCGGAAGTGGCAGCAGCAGCAGCAGCAGCAGCAGCAGCAGAGGCAGCAGAGGCAACAGAATGAGACCCAGCAGCAGCAGCAGGCAGCGACACAGGAGAAGCAGGATCGTGTTGGGCAGCAGCAACAGCAGGAGCAGCAGACGCAGCAGCAGCATGGGGAGCATCAGGGGCATGGGCAATACCTGACTCAGCAGAAACCAAGTGGGGAAACGCACCTCTCCCCTCCTCCCCAGCCCCATCCTCTCCTCCTCTCTCCAGGCTCTGTTCTCTCCGCGCCCCTGCCCCTCTCCTCCCCTCTAAGAGCCCGTGAGGGGGTAAGGCACGTGGTGCACGTGGTGGGACCCAATATGAATCCTCGTCGCCCGAACTGTCTGGATGGTGACTATAACGAGGGCGAGAGGCTGCTCAGGTCCGCGTATGGGGCGCTCTTTAGAGAGTTCCGCCTGCTGGCCAAGGGGGGAGAGGAGGGGCGCGCGGAGAGGGCGGATGGAGGGGAGGAGGGAGTGGGGAAAGTGAGGGCGAGGGAGCAGGGTGGAGATGGGGAGAGAGGGATGGAAGGGGGAGTGGAAGGGCGAGGAGGTTGGGGGGTTGTGGGGGAAGGTCGGGTTGGGAAAGAGGTATTGGTTGCAGCTGAGGGTGGGATGAGGGGAGAAGGGAGGAGGTGGGTGGAGGAGGCACGTGATGGGCTTGCAGGGACGAAGGTAAGAGAGTCTGTGGGAGGAGAGAGGGGAAGGGAGGAGAGAGACAATGGTGGGTCGTGGGAGGATGGGGTAGGTGGCGGAGTGGGGATGAGGAGAAGAGATGGAGGTGCTGGGGGTGATTCTGGAAAGGGGAAGAGGAAAGCTCGTGAGGGTGAGGGTGAGAGGGACGAGGTCGATGAGAGGAGAGCAGTGGGAGCGGGGAGTAAGAGGAGAAGGGACGAGGAGGGGGGAGGTGAGAGGGAGGGCGAGGGGATTAGGGAGCTTGAAGGGAAAGAGATGGATGATGAGAAGCGAGGGGGGCAGGGGTTTGGAGGAGAAAGGAGAACGGGAGGACGGGAGAATCTGGGAGGGGAAGCGAGGGAGCAGCAGCACCAGCAGCAACAGCAGCAGCAAGGCAGGGAGGATTCAGGCGTGGGGAAGGGTGAAGCTGCACGAGATGCATTTGCGGTGCTGATGGGGAGGGGCAGGAAGAGAAGGGCCGATCACCAGGTAAGGGTTAATGCCGAGGCTGCTTCAGACGTCCTCCCCGAAGCTAAGCGGCACGCACGGGATGCGGAAATGACAATTGGAATCGGCACGGTGGCTGCTCTTCCTCCCACCATTGCCCATGTTGCCACCACCGTCTTATTCACTCCTCCAGCAGAAGAGCTTGCAGCTGCGGCATTACCAGCAACAGCAGCACCAGACGCACCAAGGGCAGCTGCACCAGCGGCCGTTGCAGCAGTAGCAGCTGCAGCTGGAGCAGCAGGCACAGAAGTACCAGGTGTAGCAGCATCAAGCGCAGCAGCAGTAAATGCAGCAACGGCAGGCACAGCAGCACCAGGCACAGCGGCAGTAGGTGCAGCAACTAAGGCAGCATGGGACAGGGGGCACCCCAGGGGGAGAGGCAGAGGCATAGCGTGGATCCACAGTACCAGTAACCCGCCCTGGCCGTGGATGCTGGCTGAGGCCGCTGATCCAACAGCTCAGATGGTGCAAGAGATTCGCATGCCTACAGGGGATGATGGTGATGGTGGTGGTGGCGGCAGCACAGCTGCTGCTGCCCGTGCTGCTGCAGCTGTGCAGTTGAAAGCAGCGGCCGCAGCAGAGAGAGGGGCAACAGCAGCGGAGGCAAGAGCAGAGTTAGACGCACGAGCAGCAGCGCTAGCACGAGCAGTGGCAGAAGCAGCAGGGAAGGAAGCCTTTGACCCTGCAGGCAGGCCAGAAGGGGCCATGGTAGCCCAAGCCCCCTCCCCAACCACTGTTATGTCTTTCACCACCTCTACTACCCCTAGCAGTGACACTGGCACCGCTTCCACCTCAGCTGGGGCTGACTCCACGTCAGCCAGAGCTGATTCCACGTCAGCGGGAGGCGAGAGAGGGTTTTGGTCGCGAGGCGACAGTTCAGCAGCTGCTGCGGCGGCTGCTGTGGCGACAGGTGCTACGAGTGAAGGCTGGGGAGCTGGTGGGTCGTACGGTAGAGGGAGTATGAGGAGGGAAGGGCGTAGTGATGGTGTAGAGAGGGAAGCGAGGCGAAGGGAAGGTGATGGTGGTGAGTTGGGAGTTCGAAGGGGTGCTGAGGAGTTGACTGGGCGAGAAATGGGGGCGATGCGTGAGATGGGGATGGATGAGAGGGTTGATGATGCTGCCGATGCTTATGGGGGAGAGGAGGCAGAGGGAGGTGTTCATTTGAATAGCGATGGTGGCAGGGGCAGAGAGGATATGGCATCACTTGTGGCACCAGCAGCAGCAGCAGCGGAAGATGTTCCAAGTGCTGCTGATTCCCCTCCAGCGGCTCAGGTGCCCTCTGTGGACCCCCAGGTGGTCACAACAGAGCGCCAGGTGCCACTAGCAGATGCTCAGGTGCCATTATCTGCAACAGGCCACTCCACTGCACCACCAAGACCCGCCTCAGGAACAGCATCTCTCTCCCGCCCGCCCACTAGAGCTCAGGCTGAGGCGCAGGCTCAGGCTCATGCTGGGGCCGAAGCTCTGGCTGAGGCTCGGGCCGAAGCTGGAGCTCAAGTTAGGGCCCAGGCTGGGGCGGGCAGTGAGATTGAGGCAGCAGCATTTTTGCGCCCACCCTCCGCGCCAGCTCCTCCCCGCCCTCCCCTTCCCCGTGGTCCTGGAGAGGTGGACCGGACAGGCAGCGCAGGCCGGCAGACAGCAGGAGAGGCGCGGTTGGGCTCTGTGGGGGGGGCAGGGGAACAGGCGATGGGGGTTTGGGTGGTCCGGGGAAGGGCAGCATTCCGACCGAATCTTGATAGAGTGGCGGAGGAAGAGGGACGAGAGGTGGTGAGAGAAGAGAGGCGAGAAGGGAGGATTGGGAGGGGCGGAGATGGGGGGGATGGGGGAGCGATGCTTCTCCAGCGAAGGGGTTTGGAGCAGGGGGGAGGTGGGGGGGAAGGTGGGAGGGGTGTTGGAGGGACGGAGAGAATGGGGGGTGGTGAGGGTGTGAGGGGAGAGAGGGGCTCTGGAGGAGGGATGCAGTGGTGGAGGAGGAATGAGGGGAGAGGGGTGAGAGGGGGTGAGACGGGAGGAAAAGAAAGAGGAAATGCTGGTGGTGGAGGAGGGGAAGAAGGGGGGGGGGGAGGGGGAGGGGGAGGGGGAGGGGGAGGAGGGGGTGTTGGTGGTGGTGGGGGTGGGGTTGGTGGTGGTGATGGTGGAGGGGGGGGAATGGGGGTAGGAGGAGGAGGAAGGGCAAGTGACATGCGAGGGGTAGGGGGAGGCACAGGAGGAGCAGGGAGCGGAGGAGGAGGAGCAGGAGGGGGAGGGGGAGGAGGCGGAGGAGCAGGAGGGGGCAAGCGCAAGGAGGGGCATGGTGGGGCGGAAGGTTCCTGGAAGCACACGCTGAGGGACATTGCAATGCGGCCTGAGAGGCACAGCGATGTGGTGCTGTTTGCTGATGCCTCCGTGGTGGTCATCCGCGATAAGTACCCCAAGGTGAGATGACTTTTGAGTCGACTGAAAAGTCACTTTGTTCGCTGATGCGTCCGTGGTGGTCATGTGCAGCACCCTCACGCAAAGTGTTGATCGTCATTCAGCTTGGCTTGAAGTGTGTTCGGGGAGTAAAAGACCCGATTATTTGAAGGGTTGACTCTGATAAAAGCTTCCTTTCTCTTATGCTTCCTCTTCATGCCCCTCACTTCACGCCAGGCCCAGCACCATCTGCTGGTTATCGCACGGACGGACGGTGTGGATCGCATCATCGACGCCACAGCGACAGATCTGCTGCTGCTGCGCCACATGCTGGCAGTCGGGCAGCTCTGGGCAGCACACTCCGTCTCACCCTCCTCCTCCTCCAACCCCACTCTTGGATCTGGCAATGCACCCAACCCCGCTCCCGCCTCTCACACTGCACCACAACAAGACATCGTGCCACAGAAACCACCTGAAAAATCTCCCGATGCTGCGGCCCCAGGAGTGTCAGGTGCTGCTTCAGGTGGTTGGCCAGGGGGGAATCCAGGCAGTGAAGGCGAGCATGCAAGGGGGAAGGCCCTGCCTGGGAAGGGAGGGCTGGGTGTGACTATAACGAGGGGCCCTGGGCCAGGTGTGACAACCGCAGGGTCATCGCCACCTCAGCCACTGCGCTTCCGATTTGGCTTCCACCAGGTGAGCCTGCATGCCCTGTCAGCCCACACGAGGCAATCCTTTATGCACAATCAGCCCAAACCTGGGCTCTCGTCATTCATTTGCATTCATAATGTAAATCCATGCATGTGGGCCATGTGTCTCAGGTGCCGTCCATGCACCAGCTGCATCTGCACGCCATAAGTCAGGACAACAATGTTCTTTGTTAAGTCTAATTCGTTTGTAATGTATATGTGTACCCACATGTGCTACGTGTCTCAGGTGCCGTCCATGCACCAGCTGCATCTGCACGCCATAAGTCAGGACAACAATGTTCTTTGTTAAGTCTAATTCGTTTGTAATGTATATGTGTACCCACATGTGCTACGTGTCTCAGGTGCCGTCCATGCACCAGCTGCATCTGCACGCCATAAGTCAGGACCTGGACTCGCCCCATCTGAAGCACAAGAAGCATTGGAACTCCTTCGCCTCGCCCTTTTTCCGAGATGCCGTCCAGGTGAATTTTCTTAGGGTGGATTTCTCCAGATGAAGTTATCTTCTTGTATTCCCTTCTTGTAAATTTCTACCAGGAGGATGCCCTTTGGGTGATTGTCTGCTGTGTAGCTTTCCTCTGAACCAACTGTGTATCCTTTCGTCATTTTGAGGCTTGTTACTTGGGTAGGTACCTTCCGATTGGTTGTTGAATATTTGCTCTTATTGTTCCCGGTCATTGCTTTCTCACTACATGCCATTAATTGTTGCCACATCGTCCTTGCCTCCTTCACTCACAAACACCTATCAGGTGATTTTTCAGATAGAGCAGCACGGCCATGTGCTGCCAGCTCTGCCGACCACCCACATCTCGTCTGTAGCCGGACAGAACCTCTTCCCAGGCTCAGGTGAGACCTCACCTATGGCCCCCCCTGTTGCCCCAGAAGCAGGAGCGGGAAAAGGGAGTGGTGCAGTTGTAGCTGCGGCAGAGGCATTGGGTGGGCTCACAATAGCAGGTGATGGAGAGGATAGGAGTGGAGAGAGGCTGGCAGGAGAGGAATCTCGAAAAGCCGTAGCAGGTGCTGCTGTTGTAGCGCGGTCAAGATTGGGTGCTTCTGATGAGGTTGTAGGGGCCTTGGAGAAAGAGGCTCGGCATCTGCTTCGGCACGAGCTTCGGTGCCACCGGTGCCGCAGCGTACAGCCGAATCTCCCGAGGCTGAAGACGCACATCCGCACCTGTTCTGCACCCATGCCGGGTTCCCAAGTTGGCCTGGATAGCAGTGGTGGTGATGTGGTTGGTGGTAGCAGTGGAGGTGGAGGGGGGTCAGATACCAGAGACTAGATGGGCGAATCACTAGCAAACACAGGAATTGTTGACATAGAAAATTAGGACTAGTCATCAGGACATATATGGAAAACTAGAAGTTAGCATCAGAAGATCGTTTTTGCTCCTTAACTAATATGTTTGTATTGAGGTTCGCTGTGCAAGTTCTTTGTTGATTATGGAGAATGTTTTTCCAATTGTCAGGCCGTCCATCGCAGCCGTAGACCCACTTCGTTATTGCAGGTGGCAAGACGATAGCCGTGGATGTACTTTGTGGTTGCAATTCCATCGAGGTTTACTCTACCATAAGGCTTCAACCATGCGGCATAAGGGTGGCTTGCTTGAAGCAGGAAATCCATTTCAGAAGTCCCCTGTCAGAAGACCGTTAACTCTTGGACCAAACAGCGAGTTCCGCAACCTAGCCGTTAGTAGACTCTAGCACTCTGAAGGTAAGAAGATGCACACGTTTCATTCTCAGGGTCTGAGTGTGTGAATAAGGCTGCTGAGCAAAAAGTATTTTGATAATTTTCAGGGTCAATGCTGAAGGGCGTGGTAAACCGAAGTTATAACACTAGAAACGCATCAGCTTCGTTAACGCCATTTCTGGATTCTCGATGTCGTGTTGAGATGGATGCGCGAAGTCCAGGCGAAGGGTCAGCCTTTCCTTTACAATCCCTTCCCGACGAGCTCTTGCTGCAATGCCTAGCTCGCGTTTCCTCCGATTCAGACCCAGGATGCCTGCGACTCCGGGGGGTTTGCGGAAAATGGAGGAAGTTGCTGACGTCAGATAGCTTTTTGGATCTCAGACGTCAGGTCGGGAGAGCGACAGAGTGGTTGGTGACTCTGACTTGGCGGATTGAGGGAGGATTGCTCTGCAAGCTGTTCGACTCGTTTTCCACCAAGTGCCAGGTTGGTAGCCCGCTCGCTTATTTTTATTTTACCCATTCTTTTGAGTAAGAGTGCATACACGACCTCGTTGCGAGCGTTTTCTCTTCAAGCCGTTCTTGTTTCACCACATTATTAATGTGAAGGTTTTCTTGACTTTCGTACTGGCCTGTTGTAACTCGTTCTTTGTACGTGGCAGAGACTACCATGTTCATTCAACGGTCTTCCCCCATCCCGCCAATATTTCGGAGTGACTTCAGTCGGTCATACGGTTTACGTTATCGGAGGACAGACCATAGACAACACAGGAATAATGACTGACTTAACCTTCTCTGCTGCAGTTGACTCCTATAACCCACTGACAAACACATCAAGGTCGCTTCCGCCACTCAAAACTCCGCGCAGCAGATTCGCGTGTTGCGCTTCTTCAGACGCGATTTTCGTTATTGGAGGTGTTACCAGCGCGTATGAGGTGCTTTCCTCAATTGAAGTGTTCGATTTGAGGCAAGAGTGCTGGCTAGAAGCATCAAGTCTGCCAGCACCCAGACAAGGAGCTCACGCACAGATTATTGGGAACCGGCTGTACGTTCTTGGGGGTTGTTCATCCCCGTTAGAAGACACAGACCCCAGCTACACCCTTTTCGTGTGCGAGCTTCCGATTCTCAGTAGCAGCAGCAACACCACCACCACAATCATACCATCCAGCAGCAGTAGCAGTCAATGCACCAGCACCGCCAATTCCAATCTCAACCCTAGACAGGCTCAACGCAGTATCATCTTGGAGTGGAGGGAAGCTGCCAGTCTACCTGTTCCACGAACTGGTTTCCAGACAGCTGTGCTTCACAACAGGCTATGTGTGATTGGTGGTGCAGCAGCTGAACCTGATGGATGGCAAGCAGCAGAGGGTCAAGTGGGAGAAGGAGGAGGTTGGGAATCAAGAGGGTGGGTGTGCTTCAATTTCCCGCTGGTATATGACCCTGGCACAGATGAGTGGAAGCTATGGAGACAGGGTCACAGCAGCGTTCAGCCACTTTCCTCTCATGACTCGTTCTCCTCTCCATCCAACTTCCTGTTGAACCCACCCTCTTCTCCACCTTCCCTTCGGCCAATCACAGGTGCTGAGCACAGGTTGGCGTGCCAGCACAGAGCATGTTATGGTTACCAGAGCAGGGGTTATGCATGTGTAGCCCTTAATGGGGATCTGTTCCTAGTCAGGAGGTGTGACCAGAGTAGGAACAGCTACTGCAGGCACATCCACAGATTTGACATCTCCCTGGCAAATTCAGGGTATGGGGCGGCATGGGAGTGTATACAGCGGACACGAGCATACTCTTCTCTACTTACGGAGGCAGGAGATTGCTGGGAGCATTCCGTTGCCATAGCTATAATTTGTTGATTTTGAGTGCTATGTGGATGCTGCGCTGACTCTTCAGTGCTACCTATCCAGACCTGTGAAGGATTCTTGACAACTGCTTCCCAACCTTGCTCACACTTTACTTGAATGGGGTGGAGAATGCAAAGTTGAATGGGGGCGCTGGAAGCCCACATTGCGGTTGCTTCGGCAGTTTCTGATTCTACACTCCAAGGCAAAGATTCGTTGTTCTCTTACAAAAGTAGGCAGAAATGACACGAATGCATCCCAGTCCTTTTTCAGTGACTAGTACTGAATGCATCTGAATGCAGAATGCAGCCATACTGTGTGTTGCACCAGAGGCACTCTTAAAATCCCATCGTCCTGCTTGATGGTGGGGCTGGACTCCCCTGGTGGCAGCACATGAGCCATTGACTGCCGACCTTCTCAAACACGTTCGTTGCCACCACTCTGAGAGGGGAGGGAGGAAAAACAATGGGTGGGAGGTTACCGTACCGCACATAACTTGAGAGCTCCATGCGATAATCTTGAGCCATCTTAACGGCATGGGTCTCATGTGTTGAAATAAATCAACATATGGTAAGTATTGGCTCTCAAGTCCCTCATGGTGTACCCACCTGCCAGCAGAGCCTGCTGACTTGATGACCTCGACACAAGTCACCACTGCCATGCTGCCCCGCACATGGCATGCCACGTCTTCCAGTGTGATGCTGAGCTGGCGGTTCATGCCGTCAAATATAAGCTCCCAGCTGTTGAGCACCTGTGGTGGAGGCAGCAGGGTAGTGAAGAGAAATGCTGAGGGGTAGTGAAAAAGGGTGACATGGAAAAGGAAGAGGGAACCATGTGTACCGCGTCGACCATAAGTCAAGAGGGACGCGGGAGCGGCACAGAAAGGACACCTACATTGACACCGCTGTGTGCGTGCACTGTTGCAGTAGCCCGGCGCTCCGCATCTCACCATATCGTATCCAGAGATCGTGTTTGCTCCAGGGTGTATGCACTGCACATGCTCTCCTCTCGCCCACACGCGGCGCATGAGCCTGAGGTCAGCGGCACCGAATGCCCGGTAGAACAGGGCGTTGGCTGCAATCACTGCTGCCTCGTTGTCTGACTGAAGGCGCCTGGCGTGGGGGTAGAGGAAACAGGAAGGAAAATGCGCAATGGGAATGGGATGCAAGTGAGAATGGATCGTGAAGGGCGTTTCAGGAACCTGAACATATGCAGCCGTATTTGAACCTGAGCCCGTGTTATTTTTACCTGATTTCATACACTTTCAAGCCCCGTCACCTGACTGACAACTGCAACCTTCTTCACCTGGACTATTTTTAGTTTTGTCTGAACGCAGCTGCAAATGAAACTCCGTATTTTCACCTGAGCCTATCCCTGAGCCCAGCGGCAGCGACGTAATCCTCTGCCTGCACAGCTGCATCAAGCTCCCGCTCCAGCCGACTCATGGTGAGAGCCACGGCCTCGGGCTGGATCACAACGGGAAAATGAGAACGGGAAGTGGGCGGAGAGAAACGAGGGGCCAGAGAAGAAACGTGAGGGGGGAAGGGGAAATGGGGGAGAGAAGGTGGGGGGGCGGGGGGGGGGGGGGAGGAACGCGATGGGGGAAGGGGGGGATGGGTGGGGAGGGGGAAAGGAAAAGGAAGTAGTACACTGGCAGAGAAACTTCGAATCAGCCGATGGAAACACCAAGAAATCTGAGAGGAGAGGGAGGTGGGGGGACGGGAAGATATGGGCTGGCCGAGAGCCGAAAATGGTCGCTTGAAAATGGAAAATTCCGTCGCCACGTCAGAGCACGTCACTCACATCCGACTCATCGCTGTCGTCAGCGTCATCTCCGCCACTACCGCTGCCACCGCTGCTACTGGCGGCTCCCACCCATCCCCTCTCATGTTGATCGCTCCTTGACCTAAAGCGGAGCCCAGATTGCAGCGCTTCGTCATGATTCGCACGAGGTGCGAAGCTGGTAAAGGGTGCTTTACTGGTTGGCGATCCCCGTGAGGTTCGGTACCTCGCCACTGACAATGCTCTCGCATGGCGATAACGCTGTGATCCGACAATTTGAAGGTCGCGCTGGAATGTCACAAGGCCATGGGGTCGACCTTGGGCGTTCGGAAGAGGAGGCTTGAAGAGTGGGGCTGAACAAGCGGTCGCCATAAGGATACGTAGATACGTGGATATATGCGCACGAGTCAAAAAAATATAATATATTTATAAAATCTACATAAGTACTACGTGGTCCCATGATCTAGCGGTTATGATGTCAGACTCTGAATCTGAATGCCCGAGTTCAATTCTCGGTGGGACCTTGTCGTTGCTGTGCTAGATTGCTTAAATAGTTGTTTTGCATTTGTGGCCATTTCGCTCTGATCGATCCGCTTCTGTGCAACAGCTTACAGACGATCAGGTCCAGTGCTATCGATGTATCGAGAATGACCTACAACGGGTTATGGGGAAGCAAGAACAGCACATGACCACGACTCTCGGCCTTGGTTCTTTACAGTCTGAACCTAAAACCCAATGGCACGATTTTGGGGGAGGATGAGTTGAGATGGGATGAGATGGGATCTTGGGATTTGTTCATCCTTGCGGCTGGGCCCACTCCCCCACCCACGCATCCCCACCCCACCATTGTCCATGCGCGCCACGCACCGAGCCAAAACGAATGGGATGTTGCTTGCTCGTCCTTGCGCCCAAGGCCCACCGTCCCTAGACATTCTGTTCCCTCCCTCCCTCCTCTCCCCTCCCCTCCCCTCTGCACCACGTCCCCCCCTGCCCTGGCCCTCCTTCCCCCATCCCACCCTTCCCTTTCGTTTGATTGCTATGATTCCGCGGAAGATCCTGCTGAATTCGATTGTGCGCTTGTAGTGTGCACGATTGCCGCGCAAAATCTGGCAGTGAGAGCATCAAGCCACTTCCTTCCACTCCCGTTCGCTTTTGTTCGCTTCTCTCCCGTCCATAGCCTCGCTGTGGACGACAAACAGCAGAGAATCTAAGAAAGGACTGATACGGGGGCAGCGCTTTTGTCAGTAGGGAAGCTTGTTCCCCTTCCCATGTGCCAAGGACCCTTATCCAGCACCGACAGTGCAATGTCGACAATTCCTGCATCACTTCTCGCTTCCTGGCGAAAGCTGATGCGAAACAACGGGCCCTTGATTGCAAGCCCCTTAGCTCATCCAGTCCGGATCCAGCGCAACACGAAGCGTCGTTTGTCACTCATTTCGTTTGAAAATACTACAAAGACCCACCTCCCCTTCCATTCTTCAGCAATTCCAGCTTCTCACATCTTGTGATCAATTTTACTGCTCCAGTTCTCGTCAAGTGTCCGCACAGCACTCCTGCCGTTTCCCAGCCTTCCCAGGCTTGAAACCCTTCGCACAGGTTGTGTTATATTCCTGAGCCCAATCTCTCTCACTAAATGGCTTCAATCCCGACCTACAGCTGGACCTCCACTGGCTGATCCCTCGAGCCTGTCGCAGTCATGCTCCCAGACGGCTCCGTGCGCCTCTACGATTTGGAGACCGACCGCGTTACAGCACGCAAAGTCCTCGCCGACTTTCCCGACCATGATCTCTTCGCAGCGTCTCCGTCGAGCGGATTTGAGCCGATGTCGCCGAAGCGCGTGCTCAAACCAGGCGGAACTTACCAAATTGTTCTGAGCAATTGCGTGCACCTACCGCCCATGCAGCCCTCCTCGGATTACATTCAATCTTCCGGGAGCCATTTTCCAATGGATCTAGACGCTATCTGCTCTGAGATGCGAAATTACGACTTCAGACACGTCGAGCAAGGCGCATGCGATTTTGGACCGTCGGTTTCCACGATGACGGGCGTTGACACGCCCACTGTGAGCGGAAGCGTCCGGGACACCGATGCGTCTACATTTTCGACGGAAGTAACAAACATCAGCAGCAGTTCAAGCATTAACACTGCTGGCAGCTGTCAGAACATATCTATAGCTTATACTGCTGTGTAGGCTGTAGTGGGGTATCCCATAGGGGGTACAACCCAGTTAGGGTTTCATATTTGTACTGCTTTCATTCATAGTTCATTCATTCCTGCTTACTCTTTTCACATGGTATAGAGCGGGTTCCCTGTGGAACTCTGCCTAGGGCCCACCGAAGCGCGCCCCGAGGCGCGCTCAACTTTTTTTTCCGCTATCGAGCGACCCTCCGTGTCGCCTCCCTCCCACACGCGGCCCAGCCGCCCGCTAAGTCGCGGCCCCAGCCGCCCGCTACGATCGCGGCCCCAGCCGCCTGCTCGACGCGGCCACCCCAGCCGCCTGCTCGACGCGGCCCCCAGCCGCCTGCTCGACGCGGCCCTGCCGCCCGCTACGCCGCGGCTGCCGCCTGCTACGACCGCGGCCCCCCAGCCGCCTGTTCGACCGCGGCCCCGCCGCCCGCTCCTGTCGCGGCCCCCAGCCGCCTACTCGACGCGGCCCCCAGCCGCCTGCTTGACGCGGCCCTGCCGCCCGCTACGCCGCGGCCGCCGCCTGCTACGACCGCGGCCCCGGCCGCCTGCTACGACCGCGGCCCCAGCCGCCTGTTCGACCGCGGCCCCGCCGCCCGCTCCTGTCGCGGCCCCCAGCCGCCTGCTCGACGCAGCCCCAGGCTGCCTGCTCGACGCGGCCCTGCCGCCCGCTACGCCGCGGCCGCCGCCCACTACGATCGCGGCCCCGGCCGCCTGCTACGACCGCGGCCCCAGCCGCCTGTTCGACCGCGGCCACGCCGCCCGCTCCTGTCGCGGCCCCGGCTGCCTGCTCGCACGGCCTCGCCGCCCGCTACTACCGCGGCCCCGGCCGCCTGCTCGACCGCGCCCCCCCCCCCCCCCCCCCCCCCCCCCCCCCCCTCCCTACTACCGGGAGCCGAGCCGCCCTGCAGCCGAGCCGCCCGGGAGCCGAGCCGCCCTGCACCCGAGCCGCCCTGTCGCCGAGCCGCCCAGGAGCCGAGCCGCCCTGCCCCCGAGCTGCCCTACCGCCGAGCCGCCCGGGAGCCGAGCCGCCCTGCGCCCGAGCCGCCCAGCACCCGAGCCGCCAGGTCGCTGAGCCGCCTTTCTGCATACCTACTCGACCTGCCCTGCCTGGTGAGCACAGTCCCACTGCCACTGCGAGCTCTTTCCCTACTGCTTGCACTGCGTCGCTGTCGTCGCCATGGCTACCCCTAGTGTCCTAGCTTTTGACGCTGAGGGTCGCGCCATTGATTTTGAGGTCTGGTTGGACGACCTGCAGCTGTTCTTACAGTGCGACAGGGCTGACGGCCTTTCTCTCTTTGACCTCACCTCTGGCGCCTCTCCTGCTCCTGCTGCTGATGCTGATCCCGCTGTCCGCTCTAAGTGGGCCACCCGCGATGCTGCTGCACGTCTTGCTGTGCGTCGCCACCTCCCTACCTCTGAGCGTGCGCACTTTAGTCAGTACAAGAGTGCTCAGACCTTGTACGACGCTGTAGTTGCGCGCTACTCCTCCCCTGCCACTGCTGCACTGAGCCGTCTCATGCTTCCCTACCTCTTTCCTGACCTCTCTGCCTTTCCCACTGTCGCTGACCTCATTACGCACCTCCGCACTAGTGACACTCGCTACCGCGCCGCCCTTCCTGCTGAGTTCTGCGCTAAGAACCCCCCCCCCATGTACATCGCTCTCTACTACGTAGTCGCACGCCTCCCTGACTCCCTTCGCGTCGTCAGGGACCACTTTCTCGCAGTCTGTCCCACCACTCTCACCGTCGACCTCCTCGAGAAGGCCCTCCTTGCAGCGGAGAAGAGCATAGTCGCTGTAGGTGCTTCTCGTGGTGACCCTCGCACCCCCATCTTTGAGGGGTGCTCTCCTTCCCCCTTGCTGCCCTCTGTTGCCTCTGCTGCTGCTGCCGACCTGCTTGGTCTTGAGTCGGTCGGCGCGGCGTCTGCCCCTAGTGGGAGACGTCGCTCCAGCAAGGGCAAGGGGGGCAAGGGCGCGGGTGGAGCTGGAGGGGGCGGTGGCGGTGGCGGCGGTGGCGGCGGAGGGAGTGGGGGTGGCGGCGGGGCTAGTGGCGGGGGTGGTGGTGGTGGTGGCGGCAGCAGCGGCGGAGACGGTGGTGGTGGTGCCAGCGGTGGTGGTGGAGGCAGTGGCGGAGGTGGAGGCGGCGGAGGTGGAGGCAGTGGAGGCGGCAGCGGAGGAGGCAGTAGTGGTGGAGGAGGTGGAGCTGGTCGGGGTGGTACCCAGCAGCGTAGCGGCAGTGGTGGTGGCCAGCGCTCGCACCGGCAGCAGCAGCAGCGCTCGCGGGACATCCCTTCGCCTCAGCAGCTTCGTGAGTGGTACGCTGGGCGTCAGAGGGGTGGGGGTACTGGTCCCTGCACCTACGTTCTTCGTTCCGGCGACCGCGCGGGTGAGCAGTGTGGGGGTGCCCACGCCACCCAGCGCTGCTTTGGCCGCCTGACGGACGCTTGGCGTCAGCAGTTCCCTGGGGCTAGTGAGATCCCTCGCTGGGATGAGCTTCTCAGGGCTGGTGTAGCGATCTTTGATCTTGATTTTGATGCTATCCTTACTGCTATGTATGTTGTGGATTATAGTGAGGAGAATGAGGGTTACCGGTGTTTTCAGCCCGACCCGGGCATTGGTACTGCTGCGCTAGGTGCTTGTGAGGCTGCTGCTCTAGGTGCCAGTGCGTCTGCGCTCTCAGGTACTGGTGAGACTGCGCTCTCAGGTACTGAGTCGTCCTCGTCCTCCCTCACTTTCACACTTGACTCCGGAGCTTCTCGCTCCTTCTTTCGAGACCGCACTACCCTTTCGCCGCTCGCCAGGCCGGTTGCGGTCTCCCTTGCTGACCCCTCTGGGGGTCCTGTCCTGTCTCACTTCTCCACTGTCCTCCCGTGTCCGGCTGCCCCTTCGGGCACCCTGTCGGGTCTGTACCTTCCCTCGTTCTCTACGAACTTGGTGAGTGGAGCGGACCTGCAGGATGGGGGTGTTCACCAGTTCACTCCTGCGCGTCAGAGGGTGACCCACTGCACGGAGGCTCGCACAGGCCGACACCTGGCCACGTTCTCACGTCGGCCGGGGTCGAGTCTCTACACCCTGACCGTTGAGTCTCCTCCTGTCCCTGCGTCTGGTCAGGTGGCTGCGTCGGGTCAGGTACTTGCTGCTGCGTCCCGGTCAGGTCCTGAGTCTGCCCCCTGTTCTTGTCGCCTCCTGTCTCACGAGACTCTCCTGTGGCACCACCGTCTTGGCCACCCCTCCTTGCCCCGTCTTCGGAGCATGGCTTCCCGTGTCCTTGTCTCTGGTCTTCCCCAGTCTCTCCCTCCTCTCCCCTCCGGGCCAGGACCTTCCTGTGTCCCCTGTGTCGAGGGTCGCCTCCGGGCTACTCCTCACTCCTCCCACTTCCCCCCGACAGAGGCTCCCCTGCAGACGCTTCACATGGATGTGTGGGGCCCAGCCCCCGTCCGTGGGCAGGGTTACGAGCGCTACTTCCTGTTGGTGGTTGACAACTACTCGCGTTACACCACAGTCCTCCCCTTGCGCAGCAAGGGTGCGGTCACTGAGGTGCTGATCGACTGGATCCGCGAGGCTCGTCTCCAGCTCAGGAAGAGCTTCGGCTCGGACTTTCCTGTTCTGCGTCTGCACTCTGACAGAGGCGGAGAGTTCTCTTCTCGCCTTCTGCGAGACTACTGTCGTGCACGGGGGATCCGCCAGACCTTCACGCTTCCGGACTCACCACAGCAAAATGGGATTGCTGAGCGCCGCATTGGCATG